GCCTTGAGAGGTGATGAAAAAACGTTCCAGTTATACAAACAGTCAACACTCCTATATATTACATCATTGTAAAAAAGGCGCACACACCCGGGATCGAACCATGATCTCACGATCAAGAGAGGGGGTGCTTATCCATCAGACCCCACCCATTACTTGAATGGGAACAGTGTAAATGAAAAGCACTAAAGTGCAAACCCTCGGCGAAGTAGCTCTGACACGGGCTAGCTACAGTAGTAGATAGCACGCGAGAGTCGATACACGCCATTCGTTGTGACTTCTTGTGCCTTCAAGATAGACAGAGCAAGCGGACCATTATCCGCCAGCGATAAAATGCCAAATGGCATGATTAGCCATACATTGCATGCTGGAAGCGCTCTAGCTCTGCAACGGAGCATTTTCAGAGAAAACCCCACATATTTTGACCTTTCGTCGCCCGTTGGGTAGATGGTATCGTTTCTGGGACGAACAGACATTCGAGAGGTGAGATAGACAGACTAGACAGACCCCAACTACATACCCTCGCTGCGCATGCGTGCCGAGGGTAATTAACAGCACAACATAATATCACTACAACACACACCAGTTTTTAACCTGCAAAAAACAGTATAACGTTTAGCCAACCCTTCATGTACAATTAATACAACACACAATCAACCAATCATTAATAATCATATAGATGTCAGGTTTTTTTTCGGAGAGACGGAAGTAGGAAGAACTGGACTAGGAGGCTTCGGAGCCTGCAGTATTCCATAGAGGTATATGGCGACCATTACAATCACCGCTCCTAGTGCAAAGGTGGGCGTTAACTGGAAACTGAACAGGAAGACAGCTGCAATGCAAGAGATGATGATGGATAGCGAAGTCGCAAAACCCTTCAGGATGTTGTCTGCGTATTTCACCACCACGGCCACGATCAGCCCGCCTAATGCCTGCTGTATAACAACTGTCACTACCAGAGGTGTGTAGCCAAAGAAAAACCCGTTGGCTCGGATGGCCCCACAATCTTTGACGAACATCCCGATAAGTGCCGAGAGCGACCCAAACATTCCAAGTTGGACGTTGCGGAGCCATATGGAGGCACTGGACCCTTTGAGCATCTTCTCAAAGTACACACCGGCAAATCCGGATGAGAGACAGGAGAGAATCACGGCAACCAACCCGATAATCTGGTGCTGCTCCTGCGACGATTTCTCCGTCGCCTCGCTCGAGAGTTGGACCACGGCGACGCCACAAAACAGCGTGACCAGCGACAACCACTGTAGCATTGTTAGCTTCTTCCCAAGGAGCAGCACGGAGAAGAGTGCTGTGGTCAGAATTTTCATCTGGTACGTAACCTGAAACACCGCTGCCCCCAAATTTGAAACAGCCACGTACTGTAAGTTGTTCTGAAGGGCATAGACTATGGCTGGGACCGACATTTTGAGCGTGTCCTGCCAGTTCACGACGATAGACTCGTACAGATGCTGCGAATATGCGGAGAAGCTCTTCCGCTGGTAGAAAATGATGACGAGGCACGTGACCATCTTGAGGGATTCAGAGAGGAAGACTGCCGTGGTTGTGATGAACATGTCCCCGCTGAGCGTCCGGGAGTAGCGCATGCTGACGATGAGCACCGCGTTCTGCACGGTGAGCACCACGAGGCTGGCATACTTGAGCGTCTGGCTCTCTAAAAACGGCAACAGAGACAAGATAAAAACGGGTTCTTGCGTTATACTCACTGTTCTCTTGCATAGCGGCTGGATTAGAGTAAGAGCATCAGTCATTTGCCTGGCGTATCAGAAGCTCGGTGCTGCTGTGGGGGATTCGCTTTTTTCTGCGGGTCCACACCCTTTCCTAGATCCTCGGCGCGCCTTTCAAAATTTCCCAGATATCCAAACGCTTAATTAGAGAAGGGATGCGCATGCGCCGACGAACTTTGAACTTATCACGTGGTGGTTTGGGAGATGCAGGGAAATCTACGTGCAGGCATGAAGCCTCCGACGTCACAGATAACTCAAGAGGACGAACCACCCAAAAGAGGGCTGGCCAGAGCTTGGGAGGTAGTAAAAATGCTCTACGAGAATGACGTCACAAGGCAAGTACGTGCAGATTATAAGGGAGACCAGTTACAAAAATCTTTTAATTTCTGTAGGAGTATAGGACGTGACCTTGTGTTCTTTGCTGGTGCTGTTGTTGTGGTAAGGTTCCTGGTGGCTGCACTGGACGAGCCTCCATCCCCAGGCTCCGCCCCTTCATTACCCTTACCTGGCCCGGCTGGGAAATAGTTCATATCACAGCACTATTTGCATAATTGTATTCTCATCGACATACTTCAACTCTGACCCTGTAATAATAGAGCACAGCTGTATACTTATGTATAGCACGTGATAGGATTTTCCAGTGTTGTTTCTGCACTCAAAATCCCACACGTTAACCATTTTCTCAAAATTACGCGAGGAAACATGAATTTCTAAAACAACATAGTGAAACGGGATTCCTAAATATTGAAAGCTATGTGGGCTGTAAGTGTGTCACGTTGTTGTGTATGTTGGTGGCAATCTTCATGATGGCAGTAGCAGCTGGTGATTCAGGATGGTCTGTGAATACGCTCCTTCCCTCCTCACAGCACTGCACCAGAGCCTGTGCAACGAAAAGTTTTTAAACTCTCGTATTCCAGTGATCCATGAGAAACCTGGTGTAATGTTTAGCTATAATAATATAGACCCCTTTCCCAACACGTGTATATACTGAAGGATACACTTTGATGCACGAGACAAAGTTGCATGCAACTTCCAAATAATATATTGATAGACCATGTATATACTTTGTTAAAAAAGTTGCGTGCAACTTCCAATGTACTGATAGACCGTGTACTTTGTTGCATGAATAAAAAAGTTGCGTGCAACTTCAAATGTATGATAGACCATGTACTTTGTTGCAAAAGTTGCGTGGCAACTTCCAAATGTACTGAAGACCATGTACTTTGTTAAAAAAGTTGCGTGCAATATGTTTTGTAGACCAATCATACACTGTATAAAGTTGCATGCAACTTTGCTTCCGCAACAAAGTCGCATCATGGCGTTTAGGGGTCTGGGAACGAGACTGAAAGACGTGATCAACAGAAATACATACCTAGGTAGTTGTGAGATAGTACAGTATATTATAGCTCACAGGGTCCAATGGAACTGTTCCCAGTAGAGAAAACCCAAACTCCTCAGTCAGTCTGGTGGCTCCGTCCTCTGAGAATAGCTGCCAGTTCTCCTTTTAATAGAGAGAGAGAGAGATGGACAGAAACCTTCAGGAAAAGGACATAGATAGTGTTGCTATTCCACCCTCCAACTATAGCCTACGTACTAGGGATGGCTGGTTTGTCATTTCATTTAGTCACGTCCCTGCAAAAAATGCAAAACCGTTCAAACCGGCAGTGGGAGGGGTGGTAATGTTGGAGGTGGGAGCATTACTCACATCCCTGAACTAAATATAAAACCACTCAACTCTGATTGGGAGGCAGGTGAGAGAGTTTAGGACAGCTAAATAGGGGCGAGATGGGTACGGCAAGACAGTTGAGAAGGGTTTTAAACAGTTCCCCTAACAAGCAAACACCAAACCCTCCACGAGAGGGTCTAACCTGGCAGCAAGGACACTGGTAGCCGCTCATGTTCTCGACCACACCCATCACCTTGAGGTTCATCTTGCGACAAAAATCCACCTCCTTCCTCATGGTTGCCAGGGCAACCTCCTGGACACGACAAAAACAACATAATCTTTCAGGTATTCTGAGGTTTGACGTCATTAGTAAAACAATTTTCCAAGAGTGCAATACAGAATCCAGACACCAATGGGACAGAAGAAAGTGTCCAAATTAGTGAGGTGTCCTTTTTCAGGGGTTAAAAATTGCAAGCAAGAACAAGGGAGAGAGGAGTCCTCATGTCAGGGTTGTCCTTAGAGAGGGGTTCCACTGTTATTGATAAATTGCAGGGGCAGCACTCACTTGTGGAGTGGTAACCAGTATGGCACCCTCTGGCCTGGCGTTCATGAGCACCTTTACAACTGACAGATGCTCATCTGACGTCCCGGGAGGAGTATGTTGGCTGCCCAGTCAAAGAAAAATCAGAGGATTGCTATACCACAGCACCAACATTTTTAAAACTCTTTTCTTCCTTCTTTTTTGGCACTATTTTTGATCTACCGTTACTTTTACTTGACAGGCACGCATACCAGTATTTAATTCAATCCAGTGAAGTATGGATATCAGAAATTCGGTACTCATTACTTTATGGCAGTATAAAAGGGCTAAATGTAGACACTGTTACTAAAAATAGGCATTGGGCCCTTTTGTTTAGCACCATCTTTAGTAACATTTCTAAATTTAGCCCTTACGTAGTGACACATTCCCTTTAAGTATGGATATCAAAGATGAGATAGTCAAGTCGTCCCCAGAAGGTGTCCTTGACGAATCTCTTGATCATGGCAGTCTTCCTGGGACCCCTCCAGACCACAGCACTGTCCCTCTTCTCCAGGAGATTCCCCACGGACATTACCTTCACCCCTCCGTGGGGGGAACTGTGCACATGTGTGTGTGTGTGTGCGTGTGTGTGAGTGTGTGTGAATGTGTGAGTGTGTGTGTGTGTGTCTATTACTAAAGGGCTGAGAGCCAGAGGGGGCTTTCTTGGTACATTGGCAACAAGGTTCTAGAGCGAAAAACCTATTTCAGAACCAAATGTGCTTCAAAGCAAATTATTGCTGATGGGGATGGCGGAACTATAATATAGCAAATCTGTCATGTCTTCTCAATCATTTTTCACAAAACCATGAACTTTTCCTCCGCCATATTGTGTTTTCCCACACCTGAGAGGGACCCATCCGTAAGGACCGTTCACCACCACATCTCCACCGACTGACATCAGTTTTGGGATGCTGGGACCGCATATGTCCAGATCCACCAATCCAACCTGTGGCACAGCAGTGGAGGGAGAGGAACAGATGGCTGGCAATGCAACGAGACAATGGTTGGTGGACTCTTGCTAGCCTCCCTGTTACACAGAAAAACTTGAAACATGTTGAGTAGTTACATACGATGGAAGTGTGTTTTTATTGCAATATGGAGTTTCGACTGACATATAAGTTATACATGAGGCCTTTGTCCCACGCAACGAAGTTGCACTTGGTCTTACTAGCCTAGATAATAGACATTCCTCGAGGGGAGGGGACAAATATCGAACACCTAGGAGCTATATAGGTAGGCTACAATATTGTGCATGCATGTGTATATTGTATATACCTTAGCTGAGAGGCTTGCCAATGCCATACTCAGACAACTGGCAATACTAGACTTCCCCACACCTGCAGCAAGTGAAATTTCCATTTACATTCAGAAAGTCTCATGGTGACTGATTGACTCAATAGTAATGTACTGAGGGGAGCACCTTTAGACCAGTACTGAAAACAAAAATTCCACAACATAATTAATTGGTGACTCGCTTCGGCATTATACAGTACATCCCAATGCTATTCCACCATGTACTACATTCATCATGCATGTATGTATAGCTGAAGTATACATTGGACGAATCCAACCTCCTTTTCCAGAGAGAACGACTATCTTTCTCCGGACAGCTCTCATTCTTACGTCGATGAACTTCTGGTCGGTGTCCTCACGACCTGCAAAATGCAAAACAGAAAGGTTTTTGAAGCCTTAAATCATGACACGGTGGCTCACTCTGACTGAGGCACAGTTCTCTGCCTGGACATCCCTGGCAAACGTCTGCCCTGCCTGCCTCCTCCTGTGCAAAGAAACAGTGCAAGCCGGAAACAGAACACACGGGCCTTACTCGGTCTGACGGACACCCTACAGCATGTGCCACCAATCCCTTACTGTCTGCAGCATCGTCACCTGAACTGCATTGCTGCCGCGCCGGCTGCATGACGAGCCCCGAGTTTTGCAGCGTGTTCTAATAAAAGCGCATCGTCGCGTTGCTGCGCGCGCACGTGCTGCCTCTTCAGCTGGACGACGGACTGGAAACGTCGCCTATGGATCCCTCGGACGTGAAATCTCTCGTTCGTGGGTGGTTGCAGGCCTCCCCCAACGCTGGCCGCGTCAAACTGACGCCTCCCTCTCTCGTACCCACTTTCACCCCACGTCCTGAACGGTAACTTCACCATTGCGTACATTAGCGGCTTGCAGACTGCGTCAAGCAAAGAACGAAGGTCGCATTCCACCTACGAGAAACCGCGTGGCGGCTGTAACATCATATGCTATATACACCCCACCACCATTTTCTGAAGCTTGGTGTTACCTTAGCAGGCAGCCGTGCATAAGAATAGCAGCACAGCAGACAACCTCAACGACACATTTACTGGTAACCAATCAGCAGGCTGACATAACCATCCGGTGGCAGGGGACAGGCAACCCGTACAATATGTGTCTGTAGTTGCAAGGATGATAGAGCCCTCTTCCCCCTACATCCTCATTCTACTAATTACATGCTACATGTTGCAGACTCGGTCTTGGTGCAGTTCCGCGTCAGGACCTGGAGACTCGTGCCTACAACAGTCGTCTGGAGAAGAGGATAGGCAGGAAGTTGGCGGGAAAGAGAAAGGAGGAAAACGACGCTGGAGTTGGTGAGTCGTACGCTGGACACGTGTTCGCTAAATTTTGTTGATCACAACAGAGTTGGCTGTGAACTATGGTGTATTGATTATGGCAGATGCTGTATAAGTCCTTTGAATTTTTAATTTACAGTACTGAACCTTCCCCTCCCAAATATTGGGTGTGGTCTGATGGATAAGGACTCACACACTAGGATTATGTGCTTCCATTAATTAACCCTCTGCACACAAGTTTCATACTGCGTACCTTTAATGTGATGATATATGTAGGTAATGTGTTTTTGCTTTCTAGAGCCACTGGTTGAGAAAGACTTGGCTGCTGATGAGATGTGCAGTCGTTCAACTAGCATTTATGGCAAGCAAGCAAGAAAACCAACACCAGAGTGCTCTCTGAAGACCGTCCGAAAGAGAAAAAAGAAAAGAAAAACTCCTGTGGTGTCCACTGCAGACTCTCCCACGCCGGGTACCACTAGGTGTTCAATTGCTGAGCACACGGAAGACCCTTTACCACAGAGAAGACAGGATTTACTTCGCGGTGGGGCAGCGCAGGATAATGGAGACATTCAATCTCGACCTCTTGTTACTGAACAACACTTGTTGCCCGTGAAAAAGACAGAGAAACCGGGGAGAGTGTGCAGCAAAAATGAACGTAGTGCACCGGTAGAAGTTGTGGCCTTACCTGAGGAGGGGTGTTCTGTAGATGGGGAGAAGAAGAGGTGGAGGAAGAAAGGCCATCGATGTGTGAGGAGACATTCTTTGCCATGGTCTTCATATGGACGGAGGTGCCGCCAGAGAAAGCATCGGCCCAAACGTGAGTTTCAAGGCTGCTTGTAGATGTTAGAGTAGGGTAGACATCAGGTGTTACGAGGCAACAATTCTGTGTGAATACTGTGATGTACCATATGTGTGGTGAGCATCTTTGGCAAGCAGAGTTTCTGCTGTATATACTAAGGCAGAAGGTATATCTAAAACTAGAAGCTTGTGGTCCTATACACCATGACTGTTGCACCCTGTAAGCAGTCTGGGATAGTAGAGTATGACCTCTGCCATTGTACAACCCTACCCGTAAGCTGTTGATACTAAGTCGGAGGTGAAGCAGGATGTTTGTCTGAGGTGGCCCAGCTAATGGTCTCCTCACTGGCTCTGACTTCAGCCATAGGCACCAATGAATTAGCTTGTGTACAACTTCCCCCAGTTGGCTTGCCAGAGGGGAACTTTGGACTGCTGTTACGCTATGTGCCTTATAACTCTAAGATATTGGCAGGTCAAGGCTAGACTTTACCATTGCATGCTATCGTAGCCTACAAATTTCACCTGTAAATCAGCACACAACACTATAGGTGGGAATGAGATTGTACAGTATGTCTGAATTGCAGGTTTGGTTTTAGCCACCGCTAGCTCCCGTTGTTGCGCTGACGCTTTCTCACAAGCCAGATGATCGATCTGGTAGATCATGTGTGCAATCACTATACATAATGGTCAAATTTGCGCAAATTTTGGTTAACGATAAACATTTTTCCGTAATCTTCAGGCAATTTTTGACCGAGGAATGCTACCAGAACTTTATCACATCAACTCCCCAAAATCTTGACTGTTGTTTTTTTACTCCCTGCTTTGATATCATATAGAGTGTGATCATACATCAATACATACAAAGTGTGGCACTAACATGAACATAAATGAAACGGACTGGTTTGGAAGGTCATGACATAACTTGCAGACAGTAACACAATGTTAACATGAAGATAAATGAGAAATTGACCAGCATTGCTGGAAAAAGTAATAAAAGGTGTGCAATTGTAAATGAAATTTGGACAAAACATTAATTTTTTGTACGGAGGGTGGGTACAAAGTGTATGTATAACACTCGGCCAGTGGAAACAATTAGGACAAAACACAAAATTTTGTACGGAGGGTGAGTACAAAACACTCGGCCAAAGGAAGAAAACACAAAATTTTGGTATGGAGGGTGGGTACAAAACACTCGGCCAATGGAAGAAAACACAAAATTTTGGTATGGAGGGTGGGTACAAAACACTCGGCCAATGGAAGAAAACACAAAATTTTGGTATGGAGGGTGGGTACAAAACACTCGGCCAATGGAAGAAAACACAAAATTTTGGTATGGAGGGTGGGTAAAATTGCAGAGCCAATGGCACCAATTCAGACAAAAACACAATTTCTATCACGTCGATATGAGTGAGGGTTCTGACAACAGTAGCTAGACACAGTCACGAAGTAACACACAGTCACGTGGGGTGAGATGTGCATAATTATCACGAGACTCAGTACAGCGAGACCCTCTGCTGACTCTTCCTGGACTTCGGCGTCTCGTGCTTGATCTTGAGTGAGTTGCTGATGGTTGGGTCTTGCTTGGCCGGGAACTTGTAGTCGAATGCCACCTGTTGTAGTTCCTCAAACCACTGCAAGTATTATACAGCAGACACCTCTATATGCCATAGTCTGTATTGTGTAGCTATCTATGAGCTCTGGTTTGGCTGTTAACTGTTTCCAGTTCACCATTTATGGAGCTAAAATCCTAAATTGGTCGGTTTCAGCTAAAAGAAAGTGTGTGAAGTCACAGCACACCGCAATACTATGTGATGAGTCTGCACGACTGCCAGAGGAATTTGAAATGGTGATTGCCACTTGGCAGCTGGGTGCCGTGCCGTCCTCCCAACTATACACGACATCATTCTTACACAATGAGAATTGGTTAGTGGAACACTGCTGTAGCCCATGCACACTAACCACCCTTAGAGCTATGTGGAACTAGATGACATCACCAGCTACAAGGTAATTATCGTAGATCATTAGCAATTAGCCCGGGACATTTAGAGCCATGAGGTATGAGGTATAAAGTCAGCTTTAACAAGACTTCAAACTTAGTTATTATGTACCTTAGCACAGGGCATCAAAATAATCAATAATGCAGCACCACCCAACATAAGTATATATATAAGTCAGTACTGCATACTAATAATTATAAAGTCACTTCAATTGAGCTCTATGCCTCATTTTCACTTCAACATGTGTGTTAACATTCCCAGACATTGCTATGCCAGCTGCATGGGGCATTTGGAGTTGTTGCTGGAGGTAAAGCGTGCTTTTTAATACTACCGACAGTCCTATGAACTTAGTTATATGAACTTAGTTACGTACAGGGAAAAGTGATGCAAGTAACTGCAACTTGATTACCGTGCAAGTGATAGTGTCATGGGACACATGCTTTGCGCCCGCCAAATTTTTTGGTATAGACTTGCTCCGGGGGGTCATGTAGGCAGAACTAAACCCAGTTACACCGGAAATTATTGTGCTCACGGTGTAGCTGATGCTGTTAAGACATTCTCACCATTGTAGACTGGCACCAGAGGAGTGGTTTGTTTTGTTGCCTACAAATTCCCCCACTGAGAAATGCTGACAACCAGGAATGAATTTCTACTCTGCCTATTTACACCTATGATGCTAACATCAATTTCATGCCATAGAAAGTACATTTTGTCACTAACCACACCCCCATACACCTAAACCTGTGACTAGGTAACGCAATGACTTCATGCAGTTGCCCAGCATTGTCAACGTTACCAAACGAAGGTAAACCTACAGCTACACGACACCACATGATACTCATTGGCCTAACTAGTCAAGCCCCAGAAAGGTGTGCGTTGGAGTGGTCTCCAGCATGTGTGAAAGCAATTCAACACATGTCCTAAGTCGGAATTAACAACATAATCTTGTAATTTGCTAGCTGCAGTTAGTTAACACTTTAAACTGCACTAATGCCTCGTATTTTACTAATGTGTTATATGCATCCAAAGCTGATTTGTTGGAGGAGTTTGCACAGTAAGGATGTGGGATGCAGGCAAGAGGCAGCTGTAATCTCAATTGACCAGTAAACCCAATACTCCCACAGGGAGTTGCTGCGACAAGGGCTACTGGGTTGAGGGATGGTTGAAACGTGTGAACATAATCAGCAAAACTCTGGCACCAAAGCATTGTGGCTTATGAAATTCCACAAGTTACATTATCAAAACTGTTGCCTAGCACCCATTGATACTAGTAAAATTTAACATCCAAGTATATAGGTAATGTGGGTAGAATGGGTATATAAGTGAGCTACTGATCAGTATCGACAGCTGTTAAAGGAATCTTTAATGTGTGTGGGGGGTGTCTTGCTATGTGTATATATACCTCATCTCTGCCTTCTGGAGTCCTGAATCTGATGTAGAAGATGCAGGTATCATCGTTCTGCCAGCCTCTGCGACGTGGTACGGGTGGAGTGATGCTCAAAACCCTCTTTGCAAATGGTAGAGATATCTTCTCCACAATAGAGTCTGTGGGTGATGATTATCACACAGTGAGCTCAAAGATAGTATCCTCAACAGTAGTTTGTTATTTTACCAAGCCTTACTAGGGGGTAGAAGGGTACTGTAGTAGCCATGATTATTAAATTCTGGTCTTATGTGATGTGGCACAGCATGTACACTAGGTAGACTGGTGTGTCTGGTGTGTCTCGGCATAGCAGGGGACAGTACAAACAAGAATGACAGTCAGACAACTTGCAACATGGTGCATTTCCCAAACAGAGGGTTACTTCATTCAGTTAAAATTTCCCAATAGTAAGAAAGTTGAATCATTTTTTTGTTTTCGTGTACATGCACCCAGATGCACCATGTACAGTCTTCTCTCATGCAATCAAACATTCACTCTCAGAATTCCAAGAACGAAAGGAAATCATTCTTTGCCGAATGAAAAAAACACTGCATGGTAACTAAAACGAAACTTACGCTTCAAGTAGATGGCTCCAAGAACCGGTGCATCTCCGAGTTTCTACCATCAAAAAAATGATGTCGGTACGTAAAATAGCTTTTTGTGTGTAATGTGGGAATTGATAAGCCTGTTGCTTACTTTGTCTGCTGGCAGGTAGTACAGGAAATTGCCTGCAGAATGCAAAAACAATGAGGTTAAGTCGGTCCAAAACAACCACAATTGATTGTCAATTTTAAAAGTATTAGGTGTGGGTAGCAATTAACAATTAACATTTTTGGCCCTTTGTGAGTCACATAAACTGATATCTGGAAGTTCCACATTACCTTTCAAGATGAATACTCGTTTCTTCCAACGTGCATACCATGATGGATTTGGACCTGCAAAAATAGCAGAGGAATTAATTTTCCAATTTTCTTATCTCTATTTTTACTGCTCTATCCAGGAAGGGTGTAGAGCTGCAATGTATGACAGAAGATATAATGTTGCCACACTGGCATATGGTTCCTATGCATCTAAAAGACAAAATAGAAGCAAGCAAAGGCACTTAGCTATGTCACATAAGTTCACAGGTACAGGGCCACTTAAACAAATTAACGCCATCCGCTCTACATTCCTCAGGGGATTTTTCTACCTGATTTGAACATGATGCCCCTCTTCTGACATCCTCTGTCGAGTTGTAGCTCTGAGGAGGTCATCTGTGTGCATTGTGACATGAGCAGAGCATTATACAGTTGTGGTGCAAAACATCTTGTTGACTGGACTGAGTATGGAAGACTGAAGCCACATGATATTCTACACTCTAGCTACTGTCTAGCCGGTGCGGAAGGGAAAATTGGCGCGAACTGCGGAAAGGAAATGCTGCAGACTTTCCTTCTGGATTCAGGGTATAACTTTCCCTTCATCCTACGCTGGAATCTTCCTAGGGTTGATCCCTAAGGTGGATGCTGGCTGCATCATGCTGAGAAGCCACACGGCTCTACGGTATATGCATGCATTTGACACAGGACTACACAACGTGGAGCTAGCACGCTGCATGCAGGCCGGCTAATGTTGCACCTTTCCCTTGGGCCCGGAGGAGTCTCCGAGGCTGTTGTAGATCCTCTTGTCTCGGTCATCCATGCCCGACGATTCTTTCCGCACTTCGAGTCGCGAGGAGCAGAGAAAGCGCACCAGCCCGTCCTCGTCCAACGTAAACGAACGTCCCGAGAACGCTGCGGTGTCACTGAAACGGCGCTCGACGGCGTATTTATTACGGCCGCCGCGGCCGCCTAACGGTAGCGGCGCTGCGGACCCGCCTACTGCACCTTCTGAGAGATAATCCAGCGACATTGATACAGCCATTTTAGCTCCCACTGCACTGCAGAAAAATCTTTAGCAGATAACACCTGCTCTCGTAAGATGTGTGGCATACTGATGCCGGAGAATCCCTTTTTCAAACACATGTCGTACAGTTAGGTATGCGCCTGCGCAACACGTGATTCGTGAGCATGCGCGCGCATAGCCAATGGACGGGTTTCTCATCCGGCCGAATAGTCGGTCACGTTCATCCGTCCATTTATGGTAGACTAAGGTCAGAGAAAGAAGTAGGAGGTACATAAGTTTTGTACTCATAATATAATAGTCTCTGGGCTTGAGTAAGACTCCAGACATAGGTTTCACTTTCCCTCATAATTACTCATTCACACATTATGCTCATTTTCTGTTGTGCATGCATGCATGCATTATTTTTAACCCACCACACAATCGCATAAGATGAAGATTGGTGAACAATTCTTTTTATAATACTTAGCAAGATTATACTATGGTGCAATGATATAATTATAGTGATATTAAAATCTTCACACAAACTGGGAGACAACATGACAGACAGCACAAACATAAATTTAAAAAACAAGTGATATTTTTGTGACGAGGTGATGAATGAAAAGAGTTGTTTATGCATCTCCAAATGAGACTTTGTGCAAGACATCAAACCACTGCGGAAGAAACAAGGAAAAGGTGATAGGTCAACATTAGTACTGGGAAATTGTTATAGCGCCCTAAACTTTCACTACACTACTATGTTACTGTACTGTTGTGTATTGTGGGGGGAACTTTTATGTTACTGGGATGGAGTAGAGTGACTCGTATACAGGCCCTAGGCTGCTATACATTGATACAAAAGCTCATAAGATGGCAGATGTATATACAGGGAGCTAAAGAACATACGCCTATGTTCATGCATGATCAAAATGTGATGTAATCCCGACGTATACGTAGTTTAGCCAGACATACACTCACTTCTATTCTGTCCTCCTCTGATTTGAACTTGAGGTAGAAAATGGAGCTCTCTTCGTCTCCCTCCCAGTTTACCCTCCTCTTCACGATGGGAGACACGCTCAGGACGTACGTTGCAAACTGGAGCGAACTCTTCTCGATGATGGCGTTTTTCATAAAGATGGCTCCCAGGACCGGTGGATCGTCGTGAACGTCGCCGTCAAAGTAGTAGAGGAAGTTTCCCTTGAGGACGAAACACCTCTTTCTCCAGGGGGTGTACCAGGAGGGACAAGGCCCCGTTTTCCACATGACTCCCTTCTTGTCTGCCCTGCCTCGCAGTCCCAGCTGGGTGTAGGTTGGCTGCAGAGGGAAAGCAATGATACACGATCATTACACACTGGACAGGGGTAAGAGTTGTCTATACTATTCTTTTACACTCCAGTGCACAATTGGAGCTTCTTCATTGTCCTGCGTCTATACGTACCTTGTTTTTCGGAGACGAAGTTTCTCCCAGTTTGTTGAAGATGGTTCGCTCGGCGTCGCTCATCGTCATGTTCTGCTCCAGTTTTCTCCGCGTAAATCGCGGCAGACTGCTGACGTCGGCCTCGCCGTCCGAGTAGCGGTTCAGCGTGCTTCCGCGCAGCCCCTGTGCCGTCATCAGCGCCTCGTTCATGTCTATAATGTCCATTTGTGCCATAGCTACTGCAGTTTACTATTCCTCTTTCGATCGACTATGATCTCTGCTTTTTTCTCCGTTCGCAGGTTGCACAGTTGTGCGATTGCGGCTTCTTATAACGCTCGCCTGGCAAACGAAACTTCCGGGTATAATGCACGCTGCGATGCAGTGACACTTCCGAATACCAGCAAGGTACAGGAAAAGTGACACCCACGAACTGAGAACATCCGCCGAACGAGGTGATAGTGCTAAATGCCGTGAGTGACGTAAAATCTGCATACAGTAGCATATTCATGGAGTATAATATTACATCCAGGTTTCACCAATCCCAATTCACAACTTATTATCTGTGGAATGGCAAGGACCATCCCACAGGGTCCATCTATGCACACGTAACTGCTTTTGGGTTTGAGGAACAATTTTACTTACTTTCAGCATGTATACAATCGCTAGAATGAGATACCAGCAAAAATGATAGCACCATCGAACGGTATGGTAGTAAGCGTGATTCAGACAACTATGGGTGGGATCGCTTTGGTTGTCACTTTTCTCAGACAGAGTTTTCATTAAAACACACAGAGACACACACACACACACACTCACACACACAGCCTTGAAGCATGTACATACATACATACATACATACATACATACAATACCTAGATTAATACATACAAGTCTTTCAAAAGAGTTTTCACTATTATTAGAAAGCAATCAATTTATGACCGCCTGTTTTTAGCTGTCTGAATCAGCCACTGAAGTGTTATATCTGCAAGTAATAAAAAGAGAAAACAAAAAATGATCTAAATTTGCACTGTGATATTTTTAGCCCTGTGATATTATTAGCTCATATATACGGCGAAATTTCCTTTAGTGTGTACATCTACAGAGGCATTATTATTACAACAAACTCCGTTTCAAAAGAAATTTGGAGTTTCTCAGTGTTCCAAAAGGAGTTTCTACCAATATGTTTGGAAAATATGGCCCCTAAAGTAGTATCAGGGTAAACACGAGCCTCAAAGTATGGCTTGGTGTCACTTTGTTCCCAGTCTCATATAGCAGGACGGCATCTATTATCATTCGTGGAACCGTACGAGTTTGCTGCAAAGTTTGATGCCATAAATGTAGTCCTTCGCACCATTGTGGTTGGGAGATATGCAGGATGGTGCTCCTGCCCTGCCCAAAAAGGGAACAAGCCACAAACACCAGCAAATACTGCATGCGGAAATCAAGAGGCTTCATTGTTTTGTGTGGCAGAGATGCTATAATCCATGCATTCTGTGGCAAGGATGTCACACCAACTATAGAGCAAAGGGCTATAGATGGTGCAGTAGATGGTGCAGTGGGAATGCATGCATTATGCTAGGATTCAGGTATAATAGTATAGACAGTTGTTTTGAGTGTATACTGTGCAAAAGATTCATGCCAGCTAAAGCAACGGCTATAGCGCATCACACTAAAGAATGCACGCATACTTCAATAGCAACTGTATATACCTCGAGGCCTGAACTGCCAGACACTGTGACTTCCACACACTACCACACTACACTACAAGCACTAGCAGAGACCCTATACGCTAAGGATCCTAATTACCACCAGGAGGTCCAGGTCAGAAGGGACCAGGAAACACTGCCACGAACTTAGGAACAACAGCGTCATTATCAGCTACACCACTTCCTTGCCTCTCTGTCCATACATAGCCTGGCCTGGGGTAAGGTAATGCATTCCTTACCCATAACAACACCGCAGGATGTTCACAGTTAATCAGCCATTCACACAACCACGTTGCTATGAGATCAAGCATTATCATTTGAAATCCTACACCCAAAATGGGAAGTATGCTAACCAGGCACTCACTCGCAAGCAACTTGATAATCTTACAACGCCATTAATGACATGCAGCAAGCAAGCTATGAAGGTCCTTTAATGATGCTTGATACCCACTATAGGCAATTGTATACTGTCGCGCTCCCTTTTGTAGCTGTCAGAGGTTTCAAGGATCACCACAACCAGCAAGCACTGACAGCTACGGTAAAGGTCTAAAAACAATATTTGTACAGATACTCCAGAATCAAGGATTACGTGCAGCAAAAACTCACCACAGAGAGGAAGGCTATAAATCATGGGTGTATATATTATATACTATATGCAATGCAATAGCTAGAGTTGTAGTCATAAATGCAGAGCGGCTGGGGCCAATGGAAACATGGACTCACCAATGTTCTCTCTCTCCTTGCAGGAGATGGAGTAGCAGCAGATCTCCCTGTCCTTTATATCATTCAGACTCCTGTTATGTGCCGGAGATCATAATACAGTGAGATACACTATATAGCCCTTTTAACCCTTTGGACACCATGGGGATCAGCTTAACTAAGCAGATATTGATGTATTGCCTAGTATTATAACCCCCATATAAATTCTTATGGAGGCTCTGGACACATTATGTGTCAAGTGTTAATGGGGACACTGCTTATGCATACAACATGGTGTGTGTACAGAGATGCTATAACCCATGCATTCAATGGACATGAGAAATACTCTAAAGTTTGCAATCAGAGTGACAGCTACTATAGGGATCTGTGAAGATCAGAAACTCTTTGGACAACATGACTTTCAGACAGCGAGAGGAGAGAGAGAGAGAGAGAGAGCCGATCATGTGCTGTTTACAATGTATTTGCAGGTGTATTTAGGCTTGCAAGGGCCAAGCATAGCACAACTGTTGACAGAGGCATAAGGTAGGTGTAGGTAGCAGGCTGGCAGGCAACACAGCTGAAAATTCTCCTAATCCTGTTGGGATGTTTACACATAGTCTATACTGGCAATGGGATTATGCAGCAAAGTGAACGCAAAATTTCTGCATATATTACGTATGGCGAGAGCATCCAATAGGGAAAATCCAGTATTTAGACACTACGGCTTGCCTAGCTCCCCAGCTACTTATTTCAAAAAGTGTTATTCTCTCTAACTCAGGGCAAAGGGAGGTGCTGAAGAAGAAAGCAGGAAAGAGAAGGGGCACAGAAAGCCCATCGAAACAAAACAGGTCACTTTAGAAAACAAGAGAGCTCTCAATGCATACTGAAAATCACTCTGGAGCATGTACACAACACTCGGGGGAACAGGTGTGGAATACCATTAGTCAACCAAACACTGTACATGTGCCACTAGGGGCAAAACAAGTCATTTGTGTAGAACGTAAACTGAACACAGCCGTCCCATTGGCCCACTATTATGATCCCCCAGAGGTCTGTGGGTATAGAACGCAACCCACACATCATGAATCCCGTGGGCAATGCGTGTATGAATGCAGCATATATGGCATTTACAACGTACATATATGGCAACTGGTGAGCGCACACATGTTTACACTTCGTACAGTAAACATGTAATTGCAAATAATAATAATAAAAAACAGGGTGTGGTCTTACATTCTCTCTATGAGGTCTCTCTCCCTCAGTGCATTAGGTAGATCAACCTTGTTTCCCAGAACCAGCACCTGCTCACACAAACACAGTCGGAATACTAATAATTAAGCTTGCGTAGCAGTATTATGTCACATTTCACACATTCCCATGCATCTGCCGAATAAAAGGTGAACTCTAATTTCTTGATTGTGCTGAATCACTCGTGTGCTCAAATTGCATAACGCTATATACATACAGCAATCGCTTATATTTACTCTTGTGTTTATTCTAGTTTTATCTTAAGTAAATTTATCCATCATGCACTGACACAATACCAGACTCACAGGGATCCCAGCTAGTTGGGGTTTCTCTAATAAACTGTGGAGTTCGTTCTTCGAGGCGTCGAGTTTTTCGTGGTCTGCTGCATCCACCATGTACCTGCAGGCGTGTTCATCTGATCACCACACTACCAAAATCATACATACATACATGTATATATGATATGCTCTAATTGGAGGTCCTTGATGCCCCCATGAACTGAACTAAGGCTAGGTTCACAATAAATTATGTCGCCTTACCCCGTCGCATTGTGCCGCTTTGCCGCGTCCCAACGCGAGGACAGAATCCATTTCTATCTTTACGCCAGGACGCGACGCGGCACGGCGCGACGGGGCATGGTGAACCTAGCCTAAGCCTCAGTCACTTTTGTGCCCTCCCACTCCCCCACTCTCTTAATTGCTTTCTCTCCCCACAGAGCTAGCTCCAGAGGTTTATTGCTGGGGGACAATTAGCCTCACAAGCAACAAATATAGATGTCCCAATAGCAGGACGCCTACTATTTGGGGGTCAAAGTGTCCCCTGGGAAGCATATTCAGGGGGACAAATGAAGAACTAAGCAAGCACTACCAATTAGCATAAAGGAAGTTGTGGGTTCTTCTAATTTTAGTAACAGTGTGTACACCATGCACACTATTTTTAGCCGGTGCATTTGCACTGAGTGCGGAAAGCCTCCACAATATATGATTTACTGGCGTTGGTCCGCAATAATATTAGTGCTCTCTGAGGCATGTTATTTATTTTCCTTCTCTACCCTCCCTTGCACACACACACACACACACACACGCACACAAACACAATGGTGTTCATATTCACCCACACACCTCATAGAACACACTGTTAGAATATGCTGAACTTTTAGAACTGATGGGGGCCGGCAGAGCTGGCGCCAGAGTGCACCAGGGGGACATGTATATACATCCATACTCACACTATGGAAGTGACTCCTCTGCAGTATCGCTCCCACATGCTACGGAACCTCGGCTGGCCTCCAATGTCCCATAGCTACAATACACACACACACAGGGGGGCGTATATTATAGAGAAATGGTACAGGAGTATATACTATATGTAGCTAGTATATAGTAGGATAAGGGGAAGATGTCTTATAGCTGGGCACACACAGATGCTGGGCACAGAGAGAAAGGAGAAAGGTGTGGAGGGAATGGGGAGGTTGACAATTGTAATAGGAACATGAGCTACATAGCATCCTACATGTCCCATAGCTCACATACAGTAATGGTGTGTTAGGAGTATATAGGCTGGCCTCATACTGCCCACACCAATTAGGACCCCTAGCAGAGAGAGGTGTGGAGGGAAAGTAGGAGGTTGACAAGGGTAATAGGTAGGAGGGAAGGAACTACGGTCAAGGAATTTTCAAGGTCTCAATTACATCCTCCTTGCAGGTTTGGGTCAATGGATAGGAAATAGCAATAGTGTAAGATAGAAGGACCCACAACAACCTCTATATAGTCCAGGAATTTTAATAGGAAGGAAAGTAGAGCTATACAGTATCCTCATGCACTAACCTTTATAGTGACGTTTCCTCGGGTGACTTTCCTCATGTTGAAGCCCACTGTTGGGATCATATCCTCATTGAATTGACCACTCTATCAACGTATGTATGTAGCGGTAAAGGGAGTGGAGAGCAATAGAGAGAGAGAGAGAAGGATAGAGAGTCAAACAACTACTTATATATGTTAGGTGCAAAGTTCAGATTCGGACCTTCCTAGGATTGTGTTGCAGAACCTCTGATCCTAGATAAAGTCAAACAAATACTTGTATATATAGCTGGAAACTTTCGAGGGAGCGAAATAGCGGCCTGTGGAAGTTTTGCAACACAAGGAATTCCCGAAAGTGGAAATTTGCTTTGCTACCAAAACACAAAGGTTTTATACTTCAGAAGATTCTTACTACACAGTATACCAGGACTGGCTGGGGCTTTTTGAATTTGTGTATTAGAGTGTTCACCTCTCAGCCCCTTCGAGATTCGACCACCTCCTTGAGCACACTTAGGAAGGGATAACACACCTTTCGAATGACCATACGTTACATAAACGGTGTATGGAGCCCATGACTGCATAACAGAGTTGAACTACATGCCTTTACTTTCAACTTGCTTTTTGCTATATACCCACATTAGCATGTTACGCAGTGGCGTATTAGAACTTTGTGGAGGACTACCCTTTTAACTTGGCAACTACCTTAAAGGATGAGGTTACGGCAACACTTGAACAAAGTGCCACTATAAAACATTGCACAGCTCAGCAGCTCACAGTAGTCTCTACAACGCCATGCTCTGTTTGTTGAGCTCAGCATCTTCTGAGAAGTTAGCTTGCAACTATGTCGTGGTGCGCGCCATTTCCAACGGACGTATATACATAGTTCGCGGCGCACAGTAGTACGTATATAGTAGACGGGAAAGGGGGTGTATGCAGTGGCGTGCATTATTTAGAACAACGACTCACAGCTATGACGTTGACGAACGTGGTCTTGCCCGAGTTCTGGAGGCCCACGAGCGTCAACTCCATCTCCTCCTTCCAGAAGAGGCTCTTGAACCACTCGATGATTCTGTTTATAAAGCCCAGCATCTTGGTCCGCCCCGCGAAACTCCCGCCACGACCAACACTTTCCCTCGTCGAGGACACAACCAGCACACAACCGACTCACGGCACTAATACGCTGCTCTAGGGTACTGTTTCAGAGGACAAACGACAAGATCAAGCCTCGGATCTGCACCAAACAAGCCGACACACAATCGCCATCTTTAACCATGTACCACGTGACACCGTGCGTCGATCACATGCACATATGCACACACACCGCCGCCGCCGCGCGCGCAACAACAATGCTCGTGCGCATGCGCATATATCCACGCTCGTTTTCTGACGTTCTCTCCATCCTGCCTCTCCTGAGAGCTAGTGTACGGGTCACCGCAGGGCAGCTACCGTTTTTCATCATGTCTGCTGAGCCGTCAGAAAAGCGCAGCAAGGTCCCCGTGACACTGGGGTACTGGAAAATTCGAGGGGTGAGTGTGCTGAGAGTTGGTTGCATGCATGCATGGCATGGAGTGCATGTATTGGGATATCCCATGTTTGTTAGTCTGTTATACTTGTGTCAGTATTTGTGTATATTTGTTGTTGATTCAGCTGGCTCAGCCAATACGGCTGCTGCTCAAGTACACTGGGACTGAATTTGAAGATGTGCAGTATGACACTGGTGAATGTATGTAGCTACATGTATGTTTCAATCACAAATATGCGCAATCACTTTCGATTATTATCTAAAATGCAGCGTGGTTTTCGGTCAAATTCACTCTCGGACTTGACTTTCCAAATGTAAGAGTGAAAGTCAATGTGCATT